AATTAATTTAGCCTCGTGGGCACATTTATTTAACCTTCAAAGCAAATTTAGATGTCGTGTCAGGGCTCTTGGCTCGAAAACCGCTTGCCATCAGCTATGGGTGTATCCTGCGCCGTTGCGAAGCGCCTTGATGCCTTTGAATTCGATGGAGCCGCTGCTAGTAACTAGCACCAAATTGACGATTTCGCCCGAACGACCAGATCTACCCTAAATGACAAAAGTTAGAAATTTTAACCAGGATGGCGTGGGATTGAGGTTTCACAACAAAATTTCCTTAGCGCTTTTTATTTATAAACGATCTTTACCATAAAGCGAAGACCAGGGACAGTAACAACGCGTTTGTCTTTTGCAGCCACCGTTTGCTCGAAGTGATGACCATTCTTGTTATGTTTAAAGGTAAAAATCTGGTTCTTGAAATGGAGTTCGATTCGATTTTGGTCGACGTTCAAATAGGTCGCCTGCTCGTCCTTGAGCGTAAATTGAAGAATTCGGTGTGATTCAGACAATTCCGTCTTCGTTTCTGCCATTTTCGTTCTAAATAAGGAATCAATGATCGTGAAACAAGATTTGAAAAAAGGCTAAATTCGTAGCTATAACGAGCAACTACTCGTTACTTTCTGGATATAACGAGTGATCACTCGTTATTTCAAAGATTAACGAAAAGATTCAAAGAATAGAAGAAATTAACGGATTCACAAAAGCGGGGTAGGCTACTTTGCGCCATTTTTTTGGTGCAACTGGGTCGTTTGTGCAGCTCGCCATAGCTTTCTTCTAAGTGGGCCAATCTTTATGATTTTCGTTTCATTTTGTAGATAGTTTCAATAAGTGCAACAAAATAAAACCAAAATCATAAAGATTGGCCCACTTAGAAGAAAGTTATGGCGAGTTCCGCAAAAAAATTGTAGCCTACCCCATAAAGAAAATCGTATATCAGGCGATAAGCGAAGCTAGGGGCAAAGCGAAACGAAGACACCCAACCGGCTTGATGGAAACGAGAGTTTCAAATGAAAGTTGCCATTGGCAAGCTTTAACGTGAGTGGGCGTGGTCATCCTCACCGAGCATCAACTCATCGTCCGTAACGAAATGATTCAGCCGAAGTTTGAGTGTTCTAGAGGGTTCCCTGGCATCGCATCGTTTCTGGCCAATGAAATTTTCAATAACCTGACGAGGATACGAATATAACGAATGGTCACTCGTTATATAAGTTGCGATTTCACAGCATGTTACCATTCTCACTTTTGACGGTTTTCTTTAGAAAAAGGTTTTTTGATTTTTATTTTAGGAAAAAACAGCATTTGATTTTCTTTAATGGTATTAAAAATAACACCAAAGTTCTTTTTAGTAAATTTGCCTTGATTAAAATTTGAGTTAATATCAGCCTCACTTGAAAGTAAGTTTAGCAAGTTCTTGTAAGAAAACAGCAGCAAGTAGTCGGAGAAAGAGAGCCGCGAGTGAGAAGGAAGGTCAAATTCGAGGAGCGTGGCAGCATTTCGAGTTTTGAAAGATGAAAGCATTTCTTTTCCATTGTTCTCCCCAGAGATCCACCCCTTACCCCGCTCTTTCTACAGACAAAAACCTAATATTCCGTTGAACCCGAAGCCAGTTGCCAACACATGTTTAAGTACTAACAAATTCCATAATACCTGATGAGTATACAAATAAACCTTTGATCTTTGTGCTGCATCTCTAACGTAGAAGCAAATGAACTCCAATAAATAATTTATCAGAAGATCACGCCCAGAAACAACTTTAAGGCAGTGACAAACGTTCGCTCAGCCGAAAAATTCTACTGGTCACACAAATCATGTGCTAACAAATGGAAATTTCCCATAAAAATGAACATAATACCTTAACAGATTGAAAACGGAGATAAATAGTATGAAAAAATGAAACCTTAAAATAAATTAAGTTTGAGGAACAACAATCAAATTCGCAAAAAGTTTGGGTTGTTTATCAAAGAATACAAACCACGTACGCAATGTAACAGTAGCAAAGTAGCAAATAAATAAAAAAGGGAGTTGGAAAAAAAATTGGCATCTATAACAACGAGTGAATCGCGTAAAATATGAACATTTATCTGAAAAACGGAAAAATCTTATAATCATAACTCGAATTATTCTGCAGTTCCATCAACCTCCTCCGTTGGAACCTGAAGAAAGAGTAAAAAAATAGTAGAGTTAAATCTTACTTTTTCAAAGCCGTCGATGATCTTGCTGAGCCCCTCGGAATTTCGCCAACGAATAAATGGAACATTGATCGAGGTGCGGAAGCTTGCTTCACCTAAATTATTATTGCCCATGACAAAGTTATAATGAGAATTTTTACAACTGTTCTTTAGAGCAGTAGTAAAACCTCCATGTTTTTTGAAACTCATACTGTTTTGCAATAATAAATCAAGCGAGTAGAACATCTTGCCGCCTTCACCGCGAAACTAAAAATAATATATCAAGGCATAAACAAAACAATTAGGTAACCCGTTTAGCCTCTGAAGATTTGCTGGTGAAATATGTTCATCCAAATATTCCGAGGAATATTTGTCGATTAGCTCCGTAAAGTTGCGAGAAGTTCACCAATACCCTCTCCGGGAATCACCATCTGAACTTTTTTGTTAGGTGGAAATTTTATTGCACATTTATAGACAAACCTGGCTTCGAGACATGCAAACGTTGTAAGAGATCGCCCTTTTCCTTTTCCTAAACCTTTTCACAAGAAATTTACAATTAAGTGTATACGGTTTGCGCCATTCGCAAGAAACGTTTTGCTTGAGATCCAAATAATAGCGCCTGGTTTCATAATTCAACTTCTCCGACTTCTGTTCAACGTCTTTCTAAACAAAGTTCATTAAAGTTGAATACAACGTTAATTCACCTCAACTTCCTTGTCTGGTGTCTCATCAGAAAACGCTTTAAGGATCTCAATCTTCTCCAGGCCAAGGCAACGGCTGCCGACATGGCGAGGATGATATGATTTGTGATTGTTTCCCATCTATATTTCCCATAAGCTTTCTCAACCTGCTACTACTTCTAACTAACGAAATTTGTCTTTCGACAGCACCAAACAAAAAATACCTCTGCTATCTTGATGAAAAGTCCTCATTTGTTCTGCTTGGCATCCACGTAGAAGGGTTTGTATTGAATGTTGAGAAGCTTACTCTCGAGATCGTCTTCATTTGGCTATCCGCCTTGCACCACTCGCCGTTCGTCAGGTTGTCCCCTATCTTCACTGCTATGAGACATCTAAAATCAGTGTAATTGAAAGGAAGTTAATTAGGCGGCACTGGCATCACCATTACCAAACCAAATTAATTCTTAATTCTCCAATTCTTAACAACATCTATCATTCAAACCAATAATTCATTGGATCGTAAACTTCAAAAATATGTGTTAGAAAGAAACCTTTTCCTCAACCTTATTCTATTGCACAAAAACGCGAGTACTGATTGATAAAAACTATGGGTCTCTAACCCCAATCATCAATATCGAAACGCCATAGTCTGCAAAGCATTTATTTTCATAAAAACAACGTTACACTAACAAGGAACCCGTACAAAATGAGCAAGCAATAGGAGATCAAAAGGCGCAAAAGTGCAAGTGCCAGAAGAAATACTTGTGACAACCAAAGGCGAAACAAATAAAAGCCCAAGTCAATTCCAAACACATAATTTGACCAGCAAAACAATGTTCAAGTAAATAATCTCAAAATAGTGCAAAAATGTTCTGATCAACTTCCAAACTCCATTCCTTCCTAAAAACTATATTTATGAAAAGCTTGTGACAAAAACCCACTTGTACTGATATCAAAAATTTCAATTTTTGACTAATTCCTTTGAGATTGCCAACTTTTATGAGGCGTAAATCGCAATATTCTCGAGAGTACCTTCCATCTGAATTAATTTGTTATTTGTGAAGAATCTTAACGAAGATAATGAAGACAGAAAAACCGGTACTAATAAGCTTCGGGGGGGGGGGGCACATCGGCTCGAAATAAGGCAAAAATGCGTTTTCTATAGGATTTTTCTGGGAGTACCTTTTTTAGATGCGGAAAATTGTGCTGATTCCGAATCTGAAGGAATTTTCCAAATCCCTCTGACAGAAATTTTTTAAATTGAGTTTTAGCAGTTTTTTGGTCATTTTGTATGGGAAATTTTGTGGTACCCTGCAGTTTGGAGCTCGTAACTCGACAACGAGGGTCTAGAACCAAAAACGAAGGAGTAGGTCTTATTCTAGAGATTCTTACGAATATTTTGATGCAAAAATCATAAAATTTGCTCAACTCTACAAAAAGTTATAACATTTTTTAAAGAAGAAATGAGAAACTTTAAAAAATTCTCTATTGCACAATTGTTTTGTTCAAAAGAACAATGTAGCTATGTATCGTATTCACTCAAAACAATTAAGGAATATGCAAAATCATGACTGAAGTGCGCGGGAGAGTCGAACCAACAACCCCGTACTTTTGCGCTGGATTGACGTCGCGCGCCTTAGACCACTCGGCCACGGTTTCCCCTGATGTTTTTAGTGTATTTTGCAAATTTCTTTAAAGATGTTATAACTTTTGTAGAGTTGAGCAAATTTTATGATTTTTGCATCAAAATGTTCGTAAGAATCTCTAGAATAAGACCTACTCCTTCGTTTTTGGTTCTAGACCCTCGTTGTCGAGTTACGAGCTCCAAACTGCAGGGTACCACAAAATTTCCCATACAAAATGACCAAAAAACTGCTAAAACTCAATTTAAAAAATTTCTGTCAGAGGGATTTGGAAAATTCCTTCAGATTCGGAATCAGCACAATTTTCCGCATCTAAAAAAGGTACTCCCAGAAAAATCCTATAGAAAACGCATTTTCGCGCCGATGTGGGGGGGGGGTCACTTTAACCCGCCTTGGCCAGACCTTATTCTAGACATGTTTTTTCAAGTCTTGTTTTGCATTTTCTGGGGTAATTAAATACACTCAATCGATTGACAATATTTTTCGAATATTTGGAATTCGTTCAAATCTCAGCCGGGCCACTCGATGTCGAAAGACCGGAGTCGACAGGTACCTGAATGAGATCGTATTTAGAAGATTTCATACATATTTCAACAGCTAGACCGGCTGCTGATAACCTAATTCTTGAAAAATGCGAATTAACTTGTTAAACTGTCACATAAACCAATAATTGTACCTGATTCGATTCGTCTCGCTCCTCGCTGCAATATCCCTCCGATTGGCTCGAGTGAACGATCGTTCGCCGATGGGCACGGGCTAAAATGAATGATTGAAAAAGTTAGCTTGTATCCGGTTATACCTTTCAGCACTATTATTAAATTATAAGAACAATTATAAGTTAGATCTACCTGGGAATCGCGGGCGTTGTTGGCTGAAGTCCCTGAATACTCGAGTGCTCATCGATTTTGCCAAATTTGTAGAAACGCTCAAGTGCCCATTGCATCGCCCCAATCGATAGTGGTCTCATGTAGCCGATCGCGCAATAGAATCTATAAAGAATAGCAATTATACATGTAAAAGTTAACCACATCATGCTTTTATTAGAATCTATGCTTACTTCTTCTTGTAGATGGCCTCGGGAGTTTGAAATTGTAGCCCGAAGCGCTCAAAACACGAGTCATAACTGCCAAAAGCTGTGTCGAAGCCCCGTTGAAGTTCTCCCTAAACAAAAATTTGCATTTATTTACAACAAAGAAAACCTGTTGAATCATAAAAGCAGCAACCGCATATGTGACACCAGTCCACATTTCATCGGCCTTAAATTTTAAGGTTAACAAATCACACTCGAAACTTGAAAACAAATCACACCTGTATGTACGCTCGATCCAAAGTCCCATCGGGTCTCATTCCATTCACGGCGCCCATCTTCCCATCACATCATACTCGAACCACACTGAGCCACCGTCGGTCATGTAGTAGAACTCGTTGAAAAGCGCGGCTTTGTACCATTCGGGCAAATATCTAAACTCGAGTGCTACTAAATGTTAGAATAAAACTTGATAACATGGATTAAATCACAGCATGAACGCACGAATGTCTCAAAAACGGTTCCTGCCACTCGTTGATTTTCGTCTCCCATTTCGAATAGTCGAGAAGAGTTGTTGAGCACAATTTCGCCGCGAGTCCCTCGAATGAATCGAAGAACGAAGAATCGGGTGTATCGCCTGAAAAGCAAAACGGTTACAAACTGGACATTCTTTTACAATGTTCTTTTAATAGTATATCATTAAAATCCAGTACCCATTAAAATAAAAATTTCTTACCTTTTGTATTCTCGTCTTCCATCGCCGCATTTCACCTTCGGCATGTCCCAAGCTAACGAGAATTCGGCCAATCCGAGCGAGTGCTTTTTGGTGGCACGACTCCTTTTACACAAACGCCAACACCCAAACGAGCCGGATACGGAAGATCGGCTAAAATAAGTTTAGTGAAAATCATTCATTGTATTCATTTCACTAAAAAGATACCTTCACCAGGCAGATTTCCAGTCTCAGCAAGATGTTGCCACAACGTCAACCCATTTCCACAAGGGTCAAAGGAACGACACAATGAAGTAATTTGATCAGACTAAACGAAAAGAAAGTTATAAGGAATAAAATTGTTATTGCTTACTTTAACTCGTGTTGCCAACCCGTACGTCATTATCGATCTTGTGTTGCAAAGCGACACCCGCAATATCTAAAATTGATACCTGTAAATACATGCGAAACACAAAAGCAATTGATACCTGTAAACAAGGTTCGGTTATGATTCAATAGGTTAAACTGAGATTCATAAACCATTTTCCTCAAAGTTTTCCGCTGTGCAATCGGCAGCAAGATCCGATCTTCTTTTACCCGTTCCGTTGCGAAACACAAAAGCAATTGATACCTGTAAACAAGGTTCGGTTATGATAGAGTGCAGTTTTTAAAATGTTACCTCATATTCAACATTACTTCTATTGTCAGCATCGAAAATAAACGCGGTTGTGGGGAATGAAGTTTCCTAAAACTTAAATATAAGAATTTTAATGCCGAAAGCTTTACCTTGTAGTTGTTCGGAAAGACGGGATTCACTTGTCACAATGTGACCGAGAGATTGCACGAGGGCACTTTGTATTCCGTCCACGAACGAGGGTAGGGTCCTCTAAAAATGGAAACATTATTGGTTTCTGGTATGTACGCATTGTTGAATTTTTGGGAAGTCAGATACGTATATTCAGCATATTCATCAAGGAAAAATGCTTTTAAGGCATGGTCCCCCAAAAAGTAACAATATGCTAATAACGACTGTCGTTGTAAAGAAAACATATGATCACTCTTTTAATTTTCTTTTCGAACCGTTTCGAATAGGAACACACACCTACCACGAAGGTTGGTCCACAGCCCTATTCTCTCATTCTTCCACCCTTCTCCGATTCTCTTCCTTTGCTCTCTATTTATGCCCGTCAGCCGACTACGGTTTGTGTTGAAGTGGTTGAAAGGTGTTGATGAAGAGCTTCTCTTTCTTGTGCACATGTCGAACCCAGTAGAGAAAGTAACGCCGAACGAATGGAAGAGCATCAAAAACCTAAAAGAATAGATTTTAATGATTGAATGGAGATCTCAAAGTTATTTCATTATTTTTGCACAATTCCCACGGGTAATCAAGAAAAAATAGAAAAAAATGCATTTCGGGGGAGGGAAGGAAATTCTTTTTGGCAAACATTTCATTTGAAACTCTCGTTTCCATCAAGCCGGTTGGGTGTCTTCGTTTCGCTTTGCCCCTAGCTTCGCTTATCGCCTGATATACGATTTTCTTTATGGGGTAGGCTACAATTTTTTTGCGGAACTCGCCATAACTTTCTTCTAAGTGGGCCAATCTTTATGATTTTGGTTTTATTTTGTTGCACTTATTGAAACTATCTACAAAATGAAACGAAAATCATAAAGATTGGCCCACTTAGAAGAAAGCTATGGCGAGCTGCACAAACGACCCAGTTGCACCAAAAAAATGGCGCAAAGTAGCCTACCCCGCTTTTGTGAATCCGTTAATTTCTTCTATTCTTTGAATCTTTTCGTTAATCTTTGAAATAACGAGTGATCACTCGTTATATCCAGAAAGTAACGAGTAGTTGCTCGTTATAGCTACGAATTTAGCCTTTTTTCAAATCTTGTTTCACGATCATTGATTCCTTATTTAGAACGAAAATGGCAGAAACGAAGACGGAATTGTCTGAATCACACCGAATTCTTCAATTTACGCTCAAGGACGAGCAGGCGACCTATTTGAACGTCGACCAAAATCGAATCGAACTCCATTTCAAGAACCAGATTTTTACCTTTAAACATAACAAGAATGGTCATCACTTCGAGCAAACGGTGGCTGCAAAAGACAAACGCGTTGTTACTGTCCCTGGTCTTCGCTTTATGGTAAAGATCGTTTATAAATAAAAAGCGCTAAGGAAATTTTGTTGTGAAACCTCAATCCCACGCCATCCTGGTTAAAATTTCTAACTTTTGTCATTTAGGGTAGATCTGGTCGTTCGGGCGAAATCGTCAATTTGGTGCTAGTTACTAGCAGCGGCTCCATCGAATTCAAAGGCATCAAGGCGCTTCGCAACGGCGCAGGATACACCCATAGCTGATGGCAAGCGGTTTTCGAGCCAAGAGCCCTGACACGACATCTAAATTTGCTTTGAAGGTTAAATAAATGTGCCCACGAGGCTAAATTAATTTTTTTACGGTCTTTTTTTTTCGGTGTCAATAAAGTGTTGGATTTGACTTTTTGTATATGGCTTCGAGATTTATATTTTTATTTGGTCAAATCAGTAAGATAACGAGTGATCACTGAGTGATATATTAGTTAAACTACCCTATTTTTTGGCCTATTACACTTGTTAAACTGATTTTGGATGGCACTATTTCAAGTTTAACGAGTGATGGATGGTACCACATCGTCTGGTACCGACAAGTTTCCATGTGTGGATTTATGACGGGTAACTTTAACCGACTCTCTTATTAAAGTTTTGTTTACAGAGAGTTTTTCAACTGCTCTTTCTCGGAGTGCTGTTGATCTTGACAACAAGTAGGATATTTCAGGACGAATCAAATCTCGAAGGCATATACAACAATTTATTGACACCAAAAAAATTAATTTAGCCTCGTGGGCACATTTATTTAACCTTCAAAGCAAATTTAGATGTCGTGTCGGGGCTCAGCCAAGAAGACAGCCGCCGCCACCACCAAGAAGAGGACCACCACGCTACGATCCAAAGGCCGCCTCGAGGATTCAGAAGATGTACCGGAAGTGTCGCCCACGGGCATTCAGAGAAGTTGTTGAGGCAGGTTCACCATTTTGTCAAATTCGAGCAAACGACCTCCACCGGCATTTCAGCGACGTGTTTGGACCGTCCCCACCAGTGGATCCGATGGTTCCCGACTTCGTGCCAGAGCAAGAGGACAGCCTAGCCGGTGATGTTGACCCGTTTCAAGACATCTTTACAGCTCAAGAGGTTTGGTCACGCCTCGCCCGATGCTCCAACACCGCGCCTGGCCCGGACCTGCTTCGTTACGCCGTGTGGAAGAAGTACGACAACGGTGGACTCATCCTCGCCTCACTCTTCAACGCTTGCCACCGACTACATCACGTGCCAGCAAAATGGAATCAATCATCGACGGTGCTGCTCCACAAAAAGGGTGATAAACGGGAAGTCAATAACTGGAGACCTATCTCCATGTCCAATACAATTTCTAAGGTGTATACTTCCGTTCTAGCAAAGCGTCTCGGGAAATGGGCAAGCCGTCACGGTCGCATCTCCAAATCGCAGAAAGGATTCGTGGCAGCGGATGGATGTGCGGAGCACAACTTCGTTCTTCAATCGACCATCGTGGACGCTCGCCGGAACCGCAGACAAGTTTCTATGGCATGGCTAGACTTAACAAACGCATTTGGTAGTGTCCCACATCAATCCATTTTCAGTGCTCTAGAATACTCCGGACTCAACAACACCGCCATCGATGTCATCCGCCGTCTCTACGCCAACTGCTCCACCACCATCCGAAGCGCCACTGGTCCGACCAACGACATCCCAATTCAGGCAGGAGTAAAGCAGGGTTGTCCTTTGTCACCCGTTATTTTTAATTTAACACTTGAGCCACTCCTTCGCGCCGTCTTCCAAGTCAACAACGGATACAAGATGCATGGACGAAATGTGGATGTGCTGGCATAAGCGGACGACCTTGCGGTAATCACAGGTACTCCAACACAACTTCAGAAAACACTTGATGTCGTCTCCTCGGCAGCTGACTGGTTGGGCCTGAAGTTCAACTCCAAGAAGTGCGTCAGCCTCTGCATCGACGGGAAGAAGAAGCAAACACTCAACAACCAACTACGAGTACAAGGGGAGTTTATAGCCGTCCACTCTGAGGACGATCTATATGAACACCTAGGCACACCAACCGGCTACCACTCCGCCCCCAGCGCTCAGAAGGTGATTGAGAAGATGACCGCACAGCTCGACGCCCTCGACTCCTCGTTGCTCGCTCCATGGCAGAAGGCCGATGCTATCAACACATTTGTTTTACCGTGTATTTCTTTTCATCTAAAAAATGGTGTTGTAGCAAAAAAACCACTTACGGCATTCGACAATAAGCTCAAGGCCGTCGCCAAGAAGTGGATGAACCTGCCGGAACGAGCCAGCCCAGAAGTGATCTACCTCTCCAGTCAGATGGGTGGTTTAGGTCTACAGAAAATTTCACGGCCAACTCATGAAGAAACTGATGGTTACGGACGCGATCAAATGGTCACGGGACATATATGTGGAACATCTCACGGGAACTAAGCAATATGATGATTGAGCAGAGAGAAGCCCTACTTGTTGTCTTACATTTATTATTACTGATTATATTTTTCAACTTTCTTAAAATTGTTGTCTCTTAGACCAATTTTCTATATACTCTATTGTGATTTATTTGACCTATCCGATTATCCTATGCAAATACTTCTGTCTGTATTTGTATTCATCAATTATGCCATCGGGCAACCCATATTATTGAAATTTCATAAGGTTATCGGAATAAACTTCCTCTGTTCTTATCGGCTTAATCTCCGGTACGAGTTCTATTGAACTCATCGAGATTAATCAATTTTTGGAACTGGTACGGTTTGTAGAAGCTTGCTTCTCGCCGTACAGCGTCGGCCCGCTATTGCACTTACTGGGGCCCCAGTGATGGGGGAACAAAATAAAGAACCAAAAACAAAATTCAAAGCAACGGTTTTCCTTTGTTTTATCGAAACCTACAAGCAAACCATCATCTTTACTCTACCGGCGAAAAGCAAAAAGCTTACGACACTCGGGATTCCCAAGCCGTCTCCGATCCAAGTACTAACCGAGCCCAACGTTGCTTAACTTGGCAGATCGGACGGGATGCCGTGTTTTCAACGTGGTATGGTCGTAAGCGAGTGCTGGGCGGTGAAAGACGGTTGAAATAGTTGAAAAGAAAGAAAGAAAGAAAGAGAAAGCGATCCTTTATCACCGAAGAGACGCGAGACGACGCGACTGTGTGCACCTTTTGTGTGTCTCGTAGGAAAAAGCGGCTACTGGCCTACGACCTCTACACATAGCGCGACGGAAACCACACACTTTGGTTTAATTACCCAAGTTTGAGGTTAGCATTAACCCCAAGACCTTGTAAAAGTGTCTTGAGAAAATTTTGGAACGCGTCTCCGTAAAGGGGATGCACAAATGAACGTGAAAATTGAAAGTCTATAACTTTTGAGCTTCTCGCTTTATCTATTCTTTAATTTAGGTCAACCCACAGTACCCATCTCTTCGTGATCCATCCCTAACGGGTCATCTCTTTTTCGCATACATTTGGCTGCCGATTGGTCTCGCGAATCTCGGTCTTCAAATAATCGTCTTCCTCCTCGATTTCACTCTATTCTCTCTATCATATTCTTCGATGATCTATCAAATTTCTAATCAATTATTGATGCCAAAAGAGGCACGAAAGACGACGAAACTTTTCCTCGTTGGGCTCACTTTGCAATTCAGTCTTGAAACGGTGCTAATTTTGGTACTATCCGGTTATCCGATTATATTTGAAATCAAGAAAATATTGCTAATTTTGCCACAATTGTCTTGTGCAGTTTAATCGCTAAAATCTAAAATATCATTTTCTTTTTTATATTGCTCCAAGTATGAGCTTCTACATGATTCCTTGCGCCTGGTACACGGCTTGTATGACGGGGAATTTGAAATTTCTAAATGGGCAAAGTAACGTTTGAATGGCTTGAAATTGATTTGTTTTGACTTGAACCAGTTCTAAAAATTCACTTGTTCAATTCCAAAATATATCCAATGCTTATTTTAACAAAAGATTCAGTGTTCAACGATCTGGCTTGCGTTCTTGGAGTTTGCCAGGGTCCCGTGGCGGTGATCTCCTCTATCTTGCTCAGTGCTGGCTTTCCTGAGGCAACTTTCTGGGGAGGTAAACGATTACTACAGTAACTTTTACATTTACTGAATTTACGGTCAAATTTTAGTTATCTCGCTACAATCATTCAGCTAAAAAGACAGATTTCAAATCAGAATTCATTATGTAATTTTCAAGATATTCCTTCTTGTCAAAAAAACTTTTCATTCTGGTATACTGTAGCAAAAAGATAATGGGCTTTACAGTTCACTCTACTTTGAAAATTCTTTCAGTTCTTTGCATTCGTTCCCTTCCCCGAAATGAGATGATCAGTGTCAAAAAATTGTCTCCACAAATTCTCCAGATATGCAATAAATTTTCTTGAAATTGATTCTCATCAAATAAATGAATCACCTGGCAAAAGTATTTTACTTCAAAATTGTGATCGGAAAAGACATGAAAAAAGTAGAATTATTGGGTTGGTGAATTGAAAACTGCGGGACTTTGAACTAAAATTTATTCAACATAAAACCACATTCATTCCAAATATTTTCCATTATTATTGATGACTTCTGCCCATTTTACGGGCAATTTGCGGATTCCTCTTTCGTGCTAGGATTTTGGTTTTGAATCGAAAAACTTTCAAAGCCAATTTTTGACTGCTTCTTCCGAATCAAAGTGTTCTCCCGCAAGACTCATGATCCGGAATAAATAGTAATCAAAAGGGGCGAGGTCCGGACTGTATGGGGAATGCGCCAAAAGTTCCCAAACAAGCCTATTTATTTTAGAGCGAGCCAGTTTTGCAACACGAGGGCGCGCGTTGTCGTCGATGAGAACGATCTTTGACTTGGAGGGCCTTCCTGCTCTCCGACATCGAGGGATCTAGCAAAGGCCGAGAGGCGATCCCATCTCGGGACATCAGGATGCCATATGGACAACGGGCCAAGGAACGGAACTCGACGACAAAGCCCAAGCCTCCGACTCTGCACCTTCAACGCCAGGACAGCCGCCTCGCAAGCCAATAAGACCTCACTCCATGAGATGAGCAAGAAGATCCATTCGACATCATCGCCCTCCAAAAATAAAGGCCAAAGATGACTCCACGAAGACACAGGCGAACGGCGAGCTGCTCATACTTGGCCACAAAGTCACCAACATCGGAGGAGTAGGCTTCCTGGTCAACAAGGACATTGTGCCACTCGTCGACAGCAACGAGATCATCTCTCCACGACTCGCAGTCCTCCACCTCAAGCCACCGAGAAACCGCAAACACCGCCGTCTACAGCTGCTACGCCCCAACCTCTGCCATAGAAGAAATACCGACAGTCCTCCCAGCCGAAATCAGAGCAGCCATCGCCACCACCAATACTGGAACAGCAACATTTAGATAGAGCTACTCAAGGTTGAAGAGCCGAACGCTTCACCACCTACCTCCACAACCAGAGGATGCCTGATCACTGGCGAGAAGCAAGGACCGTCCTGCTCTACAAGAAATAGAGTGGCAACTCGACAACTACCAGTCAGCAAGAAGATCGGACTCGAGATGAACAAAGACTCAGAGCATGAGGAACGCATGGTGCCCACCTGGAGAGATCAAGCTGGAAGGCCAATCACTAGAAGAAGTCACCTCCTACACCTACCTCGCAAGAAGCATCAACCTTATCCCATGTATGGAGATCTTTGTGAAGCATTTCTGAACTAATTTCGATCTTCGATTAGCTCCTTTATCCCTTCCAATGAACCTCTTCAAATAAAATGATATTAAAGGGGAATTATGACCGTTCCCGCAATGTATTTTTAATCCAGGCAAATGAATAAATTGTTCGAGAAAATCTTAAGAAACAGCACAAAAGTACAGATTTAATCTTCTTTGCTAGCCACTCTTTATCGCTTTTTTACAGTTGGACTTTGGACTTGTGAAAAAAGGAAAATTTTGATAAATAGATGATTCTTTGTGCTATATACTTGACATGCTTGAGAATTGAAAGGCAAACAAGAAAGCTAAACTTATGAAAACTGGCTCAGGTTCAAAACTCGAGAAAGAAAAACTAAAGCTGTGGGTTTGATCTAACAGAGTTTTCTTCTGTGTTACAAAAATTTGTTTACCCAAGAAGAATGCTTATAGTCCTTGCATCAGTGGGATTTACTGGTTTCTGATTCCATTCAAGCTACACGTGTCCTCTTTTCCTATTTGTGACCTTTAGATGGGTGATAAGACTGATTGTAGTCTCTTCTCCTTTCCCCAAATGTGCTCATGGAAAACTTTGTAGTTTAATCATTTCTTTTCCCATCCAAATAAGATATCAGCTGTGATTAATTGCAAAAAATTCCCAAACTTGAAGTTTCTTGTAGTTTTCTCATCTATTTTTAAGCAAATTTTCTTCTTGCTAGTTTAATTTCAAATAACTTTTGATAATTTTGAGATTATTTTATTATTTATAAATTTTTAATGCGACCAATTTTCAGATATGGAGGCAAAGAAGCCCGAGAAAACCTTTGAACATCAAAAATTTTTGCCCAAACTTCCGGTGCCTGATCTTGATGCGACTTTGGACAAATATTTGAAATCAGGTAGTCAAAGAATTTTTGTAAAACATTTGTTTTGGTGATTTAAGTATAGCTGATAGGATCAGAATTGGCAAAAAAAGGCAAACTTTCAAGCCAAGGGTAATCACTTGCTTAATTTCCCCGTAAATTTGAGACTAAACCAACCAAAGTCAAGGTTTTAGGCCAAATCAAACAGTAGGGCTGAAATTCCAGGCCAAGGCCTATTGAAAGCCCAATGGATTTGGCTTGATGTTGGCTTGGTTTGCTAAGATTGGAATTTTAAGCCATTTTATACAGTAAATGGCCACTGTCTTTCTTTTCTTCCATTTCCTGTCTCGATCATTCCCCGCCTAAAGAAGAGCCATGCTTAAATTGGATCTTGGGCCCAGTATGAATGCGCTTTTACTATTTGTAAATTCTCAAGATATCGAACAGAGTATATGAGTGTTATATACATTCGAAAGCGAAGACCCTCACATTTTGATATAAAAACCTTGAAATTTGTTCAGCTTTTGGGCAAATTGACTGCACAAAGGGAGAGGTCGTTTCGAAAACCCTTCTAGCTTAGCTATCCTCAAGTTTATGGTGAAAATAACCGCCCAGAAAAGAAAATGCTCTAAAATTGTTATATTGAAAAAAAAAATTATATTGATATATCTATTGGCCAAACATCAAACGGTTAACTCAATTTGAGAGCCAAAACTTGACCAAAGGGCCCTTCCATTTTTGGCCACCTCTTCTTCTGTGCAGTCAATTTACCCAAGCTGAACAAATTCAAAAACTTTTTATATCAAAATGTAGAGGAGATCTTCAGCTTTCGAATAATATTCATATATATCTTTTTCTTGATTTCGATATCTTGGGAAATTTACAAAATAGTAAAAAACGCGCATTCATAACTGACAACCCAATAATTTCTAAGAATCAATGTTTTTAAATAAAGCTCTTTTTAAAAAAATTTTCTTAGAAAAACTGGTTTTTCAATAGAAAATCGGATTTCTAGATCTCGAAAACGGTAAGAGCTATCGACAAACGACTTTCAAATTTAAAATCAGCATCATTGACGTTTCTGGACGTTAAAAAAATGTTTCTGAAGTATGTCTAAACGTTTCAAAAAGTTCACGTTTTCAAGGGTACCTCTAAAATTATCTCCAGTTGAAAACTTTAAGCGTAAAGTTTGTCTGAAAATTTTTGCCTATTTGTTTTATACTGTTTTTATTTGTTAAATTTAAACAGAAATTGATTTCAAAAAGCAGTTTTGAACGTAACATCATTCATTTTTGAAAAAACCCGAAAAATTAATCGGCCTTTAAAATTTTTACGACTATGTCCATCAAAAGCAATCAAGCGCCACAAAGAGACTAGGAAATTGGAAGATCGATCAGAGGCGGAAAAGAAGATTGCCAACAGTCCAATCAATCGTCGAAAGATCTTTCAACGAATTCAAAGAAACCCGAAATCACAGAAAAACTGCACCCGAAAGATAGCTCAAATAACTAAAAAAGAATACGCTTTAAAATTTGTAAAGCCTTTCTCGCTTTTAGCCTTTGTCGAACTCTCCGCTGATGAGCAAAAAGAGACCAAACGAGTGGTTGAAGAGTTCAGAAAGAGTCCGATCGCTCAACAATTACAGCAAGCACTCCAACAACGAGCGAAACAAGAAGATAGCTGGGTGAGGATTGAACTGAAACGAACCTATTTAAGAAAAACTTTTTATAAAATCTTTACACAAATCATTTTCAGCTAGACGAATGGTGGTATGATGCGTATGGTGAGATTCGAGAGCCCCTCGTTCCCTATCTTTCGCTGGCAAGTCTGCAGGTACGGACAACAATGGACAAAAATGAAAACACACACTTTTAGCACATTCATTTGAACTTTTTGAACTTAATTTAAGTTCTGCTTTTTCCGCAAAAAAGCGGCCGAAATTTCCGCTTTTCGTTTTTTCGCCAACAAGCCTGACAAGGGAATGACCCAAACACAAGTCGATAATTTTTTGGCGGGACTAGGTTACAAAACAACTTTTTGATATGGAGATCACAATGCCGTTTTTATTTTTTGCCCAAATTCAGAATTAGCCGATAAACAACCGCTCCAAATTGGCAGTAATTTGGGAATTCTGAAACTCAGGCCCAAAAAAACTCAGGCCGCGCGCTTGTGAGTCCATCTCACCAATTGCCGTTTAGCAAGCAGATGGATGACGGATGTTGAACTTCTATGTATTATAAAGTTTTTCTGACATTTAAAACACTCGAAAAAGTCACAAAAAAACTTCTGCGTAAAAAAGCACAAAGTTTGGTCAAAAGAGAGATCAAACCCAGGACCAGAAGTCTCAAAGTCCAGCGCATGCTTCAAAGTTTAAAGTTTTTTTCTGCACCGTCTGCCCGTAAAACGGCAGTCGGCGCGACTCATAAGCCGCCGGCCTGACTTTTCGAATGGATTCCAAATTTGTACCAACCTTGAACGCTTGTTTCTCGACCAATTCTGAATTTGGGCAAAAAGAACGGCATCGTGATCTCCATATCAAAAAGTTATTTGGTAACCTAGTCACGCCAAAGGTGATTAGCTTGTGTTTGGGTCACCTTGTGAGGCAATCCTGTCTAACAAACCCTAGGCTCCGGCTGACATCCCTAACTAAGAATGGGACTTTTCTTTCAGGCTCGAGCTCCGAGAGCTCCTGGCTCTCAAATCTCTCGAGCCGCTGATGGAGTCTATCACTTAATGGTTATCTGGCAGAGACATCGAAGGTTTATCTTTCAACTAGCAAAATGTTTTCATTTGTGCTTTTCAGACAAACCTATCCAGTGATGAGGAGTCGAGGCGTCGTTTGGGACATGCAGCAAAACTATGTCCTCTTCAACGCCAGTAGGGTGCCTCAGAAGCCAAAAGATCAAATGATGAGATATTTCAAGACAGGTAAATAATTTGAATATCAAAGTTAAGCTAAATATATTTTTCAAGAAAATATTTAGCTGATTTCAGAAGATGAAGGCGATTGTCCTTCAAATTTGATCGTTTTGTGTCGAGGGAACATTTGGTCGTTCGAAGCGTTAAGGGATAGGGAACTCAAATCGCCCGATGAATTTTATAGTATGCAAATTGATTTATAGATATAGAACTATTAATATTATAAATTTAGAAATCTTTGAGCACATAAAAAAGCACTCGTTCACGAGGAAACACTCTGTCGCCACATTGACAACCGAGCATCGAGACAAGTGGACAGATGTTAGTTGAAAAAAAACTACTTAATATATACAATTAAATTGTTATGTATTGTTTTGCAAGTTAGGTTGTTATTAAATGAATTTCAGATGAGAGAACACCTGCAAAAGTTGTCCGCAAAGAATCCAGAGCTTTTGAAGAGAATCGAGTCGGCTTGCTTTGTCGTATCGCTGACAGATGATGAGATTTTGGATGAAAATGAGGTTAGTGTAAAGATCTTTTAAGATTTACAATTAAAATGTTCTCTTGTCTGTTAACCGGAGTTTTTAATGGTCTATACTTTGAGAGTTTATTGTTATATTTTTACAAATCTAGTTGAAAGAGGATGAAAGAGACTCCAGGATTTCAAATGATAATAGAATTTGATTGGACTAATCAATCCTGAGAAAATCGAGAGACAAGACGCTCAAGTCAGGTCGCATTGTCTTCTCAAAAGGGAAGGTCAACTGGGTGTGGTTGCCAAATGACGCAGAATTCAACGCCTCTTCCGAATTTGCTTTCGGCTTCTGCTATGGAACACTGTCAAAAGTTATAAGCATGATAGCTGTTTGATGTTAATAGTTGAAAGCAAACATTTTTATGAGAAGTAGTTTAAAATAAACTTGTATTTGAAACGGAGAACAATTAACTTTGCAATTCCAAAAAAGCAAAAGAAAGTTAGACTACGAGCTGGAACCCGAGATGGTTTGCCTCGTATCCTAGTCGACTACCACTCGGCCACCAGATTCGGAATCAGCGTTGAATTCTGCACCGAATAACCCCTGGCACATGTCATTTGGTCACCACACCCAGTTGACATTCCGTTGTCAGTTTGGCTACTTGTTTACCCATCAAAAAGTTTTCAGATCCATCTATTAGGTTGGAAAGTTCAAAGTGAGAATTTTTTTCTTGTTTGTATTTTTCTACAAAACTGAGAGAGCAAATTTTGAAAATCACCATAAAAGAATGTTTTAGTTGTTGATTTATTCAATGATTGGCCGCCCCGAGAATCAATGGGCTGACAAGAATATGAATATCGGAGTGATGCTGGATGGACAAATCACTACACAAGCCGATGTTTGTTTTAATGTTTACAAGATTGAATTAATCTCGACTCTAAGATACTATAGAATACAGTAGATTCGTGGTAAAAAACTGCAAGAATACTGTAATGCAAAAACTATTAATCACCAGTGAAAGTTTAGCACTCAAACGCCGATGCTATTGTAATTCTGGATGCTGGGAACACTTCGGGGAAATTTATTCGACATCATATTTGGACTCCTCAAGTAATAATAAAAGTTTAACGAATCAGTAAAATATTGATCTTTGAAATCGTCGCATTAGTTCTAAAATCCCTGTTCTTTTCAGAATCACCACTTTGAGAAGCCGGAACTCCTCGAATTCGATTTAGACGAAACTCTTAAAGCAGCGATTGAAGAAGCCGAGAAGAATTTTTACAAAAATGTAATTGATGCTACCTAGCTACATAGCTACTATTATAGATTCTAATCTTACAAAATTTTAAGAATCTTATACTTCCAAACAACTCACAGAACAGGAACCAATTTCAGAAAGCTCTCGTCGGTTGTCGAGTACTTCGTTACAATGGATATGGCAATGAAAAGTTGAAAAAGATGAAGCTCTACATGGACACTATTGTACAATTGGCTATGCAAATCGCTTATGCAAAAGTACATGGAAGGTGGGTTTGAAAGTGACAGAAGAAACTGGTATTAAATTGTCAATGTAGTGCAATGTTTAGTTAACAGTTGTGGTGTTCTAACTGGACCTTTTAGGGCTCGTAAGCCCGGCTAGGCCAGGCCCAGGTCCAGGTTTAATATTAAAGGATAGTTGATAATACTGTATTTTCCCTAATAATAGTGCACCCCGCCGAGCCGAGTCCATGACGGTTCTACGGTTTCCAAGTTTTCACAGAAGCTCAACACTCTAATCCCCGACAAGATCTCATCGTCAGCTACATTTTCCACATCGATAGGTTCTGATAAGCGGTTCTCAAGATTTCGAGCAATTTAGGCGAAGCTTAGGGTGCACTACTATTAGGGAAAATACAGTAGCTGACAATCATAGTCAATGGAAAAATTTGAGCCGATCGGGTCCGTTAGAGTTGGGAAACAGATCAAATCAGACAATATTAGAGCAGGACCCAGGTCTAGGCTTGACTTTTTGTATGGCCTACTGTAGACCATGGTCAGGTCCAAATATTTTTGAGACATAGCCAATTAATAGCCAGATTTAGTTGGTGTCCCATCTATGAAACGGCGAGCACGCGGAAATTCTACTTGGCAAGAACGGAGACGGTGAGAAGTCGCACAAAGGAAGCAGTTCTGTTCGGAAAAGCGGTCATCAACAATGCACCGGTTTGTTCAAATTCATTAATTTATGATCCAATCCTGTAATTTCATAAGATAAAAAACCAAGCATGATTTTTCAAGGTTAACTGAAGAAATTTCAGCTGGAAGAACAGCGCAGACTCTTCAAGGACGCCTACATTGCGCACAATGAGCTGATGGCTGAAGCAATCGAGGGATTGGGTGAGAGCTTTGTGTTTAAATTGGTTATTCTAATTTTGTTTGTTCAAATCCAAATTCCCAGGCTGTGATCGTCACTTGTACGGTCTTCGAAAAACCCTCGAAGTGATGAATCGAGGTGGATGCAATCCGAAGAGAGCGCTGCCACAAATATTCAAAGACAAAGCATGGAAACACTCGGGAGGAGACGGCAATTTTAAATTGTCCACCAGGTTAGACAAGGAAAAAGTCTTTTATAATCAAATCACAAATTTCTAAAGTCGATTATTGTTGCCTAGATTCTTGTAAGCCTAGATTTTTCACCATATCAAGAAAGCTTTCCTTAAAGGATTCCTTGGTGTTCTTTTTGTGCAAACACACGCTTTCTAGCCCACCCAGTTCTTTCATTTTTGCTATCGTTTCTGCAAGAAAAAAGTAAAAATGTTAAGGCACCATTTCAGTTTCATCGGCTATGACAAATTTGGCACCTATGGCTACGTGTGTGCAATGTGCCCGGATGGATACGGGAGCTTCTACAAGATTCATGATGATGGGTAAGAATTGAACTGTAGGAAGGTTGGTTATGGATTTAATAGTAGCAGGGATGTGGCGCTTGGGCTAACCCAGGCTAGGCAAGGCAAGCCCGACCCTGACCGGGCTGTTCCAAAAGCCCATGACTAGCCAAGCCAAGCCAAAAGCCAATTTGCTTGACCTGGCCTGAAAAATTGGGTCTAGGACTCTGGACCTCACTTCTGAACTGACCATGGCCTTGCCCGGAAAATTATTTAACACCTTCGCGACAGGGCGATCACCCGCCCGACTACGGAGTGGATATTCGGCCAATGGCTGAACCAAAAACGCCATAAATTTGCAAGGATATGTAATTTGACTCCCTTTATCTAAATCCGTTATTTGTTTTGCCGACTAATTTAATAGTTTTTTGTAAATTGACTGAATTCTGAGCTGAAATCTGAGTGGATGCATCACGGTGTGCCATGGCCTATTTATGACTAGTGGCTAGGCCAAATGCTGAAAATTGGCATGGTTATGTAATTTTATCTCTTCTTTAGAATCTAAAAGAAGATTTCGGAAATCGATGGTTTTCTCTGTAAAATTAAAAGAAATTGGCCAAAAACTGTAAAGTTTGCAAACCTCAACTTGAGCATTGAAGCGACTTATTAGTCACATGCATAAGAAATGCGGATTTCAAAATTTTCATAAATTTCCAACGATAGAAACATGATATCGATGAATGTTATAAACTATTTGAAAGTTGTAAATCTCCTCTACAAAATAGGCTAAAACGTATTTCAATTGATCGAACCATTGAAGAAATTTCGAGGGCGAAATGCGAGTGACCAAAAAAAGGGCACTTTTTGAAAGTCCCACTTTCACAAGAGTTCGGTTTTGACTATATAGTGGATGGGGTCCAGGGAAATGAGGGCCCTAAAATATCATTCAAAATAATTAAGAGTTGGGATCATTTCATGGGAAAACTTTGTTTTTACAATAATTTTTCTTTTTTTGTGAATCGGTTTTTTGACAATTTTGAGGGTTTTGAACTTACGCTCTATCTAAATTTCTGTAAATGCATTTCCGTTTGACTTTTTTTAATGAATTCATATATAGTTATCCTTTTTTTTAAATCTTCAATTTTGGGAAGCTAACTCTATTTTGACCACACTAAACTTGTCCCGAAAGTGACTCAATTCCTTTTTTTGGTCACTCGCATTTCGCCCTCGAAATTTCTTCAATGGTTCGATCAATTGAAATACGTTTTAGCCTATTTTGTAGAGGAGATTTACAACTTTCAAATAGTTTATAACATTTATCGATATCACGTTTCTATCGTTGGAAATTTATGAAAATTTTGAAATCCGCATTTCTTATGCATGTACCTAATACCTATTTGATCGATTTTGATGCTTTTGGTATCAAAAGATGCTCTGTTATCTGTTCTAATAAATAGTGAAGAGAGATCGCAAAAATGTTAAAAACTAACAAAGTTCTTAGTTTTCTTGTGAAAAAATTTTGGTAAATTTTGCTAGAAGTCATGCAAAACATAAAAATTTTCATGTTTACGTAATCGCGCGGCTTCTGGCACATGACTTGTAGATATAAGGGGACAGAACAAGTCTTGGTTTGGCTCTTTTCTATTTTTCGATTTAATTACCCAAGTTTTGGGTAATTAAATCTGGCTTGGTGATATGGTGAGTTCATAATTGATAATTAACGACGGATTCGGATTTCTTAACCTCGAAAGCCCCCAAGTACAAGTTTTCGTGTTGATCCGACGCTAAGCTCGCTCTGATCTCAGAGACTAAAACACCGAAAAATGATTGACCATGAAGATTGCGCCACTGTGTAAAAATGAAAATGGCGCCGAATGAAATTGCCATTTACCATTTATGCTTTTTGGGAGTCTGGTATCAAAATGTAGCCCTTTAATTGGGTTACACGATGGCATAAAAACTTTTAGCAAAAACTGCTGCTTAGTACAAGAAAATGGCTGCAAAACCTTTCAAATCTCAAATCACCATTTTTAGAATGCTGTTGACTGCCACGAATTACAAAGGATTCCAAACGGATCTCGATGAATATACAAAGAATATCGCTTGGGCAATGGATCGAATCGGGGATGTGATAGGGATAAATCAGGCGAAATTATAAGCATTAGATATTTGTTTTAGAAAGGGTGTGTTTACCTTGCTTTTAGCACAGAGTACTACTAATTTTGCTGAAAACTCAAATTTTCCGCTTTTCTTGACTTTTCTGCCACGAATTCTTAGAAACTGATTGAAAATTTTTCTTTGAAATCATCGATTCGTTTGATTTTTACTTTTCGGAGATTATTCGATGCTAAATTTCTGTAAATACTAGCCTATTTTCTCTTTAAAAACAATCAATTCTTGTATCATAAAGTAAATTTTTGTTCGCTCTGAGTTTATCCCATTTTCTTATCAAACTTTTCTTCTTTGAGATTCAATTTTAATAACCTGTCAATCACATCAAATCAAACAGAGAACAGCTCATGAGAGTTGCACAATTCCCACGGGTAATCAAGAAAAAATGGTGATAACTTCTAGAAGCATCAATATGTACTTTGATTTCTGACACTCTTCAAAATAACTACTCAAAAATTGAATCTGGAATGTAATTTGGGCTACTCGAATGGGAATACCTTTAGAATACTCAAATTAGAAAATTTTTGTCCCAAAGCAGGTACATGTTGTAGTTTTTGGCTTTGTTGTGACTTGTGATACTTCTGCATTTGGATAGTTCAATGCTTTGTGTGGGTTTTGAAAAAGTGAAACTTGACCCTCAACAGTTGGGAAATTTGTTAGAACTGTTCCGAGTTTTTGATCATACTTTTTCATCAATACCATACTAGCAAGAACTTTTTGAAGTACTCAAACTTCCCGAAAAAACTCTCCCAAAAATGTCCTTGCGAGAACAAAATTTTAAAAAGTTTTCACTTTTATTAAAACTTGAACCTAAAACGATGTGACTTTTAAAATCAAATTCTTACAAAGCTAAATTTCGCAAAAATATAGTTATCCAAACAAAAAGTTGCTCAGATCATTCAGAAACCAATAACCCAGCCAAAGCCTAAATTCATCAAGTCTAGAAATTTCAAAGTCAACTTGAAACCACTTTTTTAGCAAAGCAAATTTGATAATGATCCAAAGAAGTGGAAAGCTAGAAAAATTGACAAAAAATTTTTGGATCTCGAATCGAAAGCTTAAACGTTTAAAAGTTTCAAAACTGAATTTTGCTAGATCCGGGATACATCTACCTATCTAGGATCAAAATTTGCTGAATTGAAAAGTGGCAATTCGAAAAACAAAGGGAAATTTTGGGCTAAACAAATTCTTCATTTTGAGACTCAAAAAAGAACAATTTCGCAGCTTTCTTTGAATATTCAAGGTAATCTGTTTCATACGATCATAGTGAATATGGAGAACTCGTGATATGGAAACCTTGCAATCTCTAGTTCACTTCAAAACCCAATAAAAACTCTCCAAACCGATGACCGGTCACTTTTTTCTCCAGAAAAGACCAGAAACTCGAAGGCCTCAAAAAAGGGTAAAAAAACGCCTGTCACTCAAAATACCCAGCATCGAATTGCCGAAAATTTGCGGATGGAAATTGGGGATCAAGAAATGATAAGAAAGATGGGCATGTGTCAAGATTTGATTTGAAAACGAGTATAAATGTCGGTTGAATCGAGTGGTTCGGTACCAGTTCGGTCAGAGCCCTTTGTCTCTTCCTCAGAGAGATGAAACTGCTGGCTGCATTCGGCCTTTTGGCCATCGCCCTCGCTGCGTCCTCCCGTCAATGGGAAGAACGGTCGTTCAACAAGGGAAACACCTACGAGTTCGAGTGGAAGGGACAGGTTCGTATTTGAGAGAATACTGTAGGAAAGAGGTAGGATCGGGGGAGTATGGTAAGGGAAAGGACAGTTTAGTCGATAGGGATCACTCAAATAGGATATAAGAAGGGCTACTGCATTGGGTACCTAGAGAGAAAAGACAAGTTGATGGATGGGATTGGAAGAGGACCTAGAATAGGGTACTGTATGCATCGAAGTACTGTAATCGACACTCTAAAAGTTTTTGAACAGTTTTTGAGCCGCTTCTTTGAGAACCTCCCAAATGACTCGATTTCCTCATCAACATTCATTTCCATCCCAATTTTCAGATCGTCTCGGGCGTGCCCGTGAAAGGATCCTCGTCTCATTCCCTTCAACAAATCCACTCAAAAGTCTTGATCACTGTCAACGAGAAACACTCGATCCTCCGTCTCGACAATGTCAAGCTTACCAATGGCCACAAGCAGCTCACCGAGCCACGCATCATCTCTGAGGTGGGGAAATGGGAAAGAAAGAGATGTTTGGGAAATAGATCAGAGATCTACAATTGATCTCAATAACTGAGTATCTTTCCCAACGATGGTCGCCATTTCCAGGTGTCGCTCGAGGAGTCGCAATTGACCTCCGAGCAACGCGAGCAAATCAAGCTTCCAATCCGCTTCCGTTACCACCAAGGAATCATCTCTGAGGTGAGATTTGGCTAAAAGATTCGAGTCCTAATCCTTTCCATTCCAATCATTCCCTTCTTCAGATCGTCTTCTCGGAGGAGGAATCCGCCTGGTCGGAGAACATCAAGCGCTCCATTCTCAACATGCTCCAAGTTCAAATGAGCCCACGCAAGACCCAAGAGGAGTACAACACGAAGACCGTCTCCAACAACAAGTTCTTCACCGTCACCGAGGTAGATTTGGATGATGAAATTGAGATTGATAGAGTGATTTGATAGAAAGTTCCGATCAAATCCAGTCTTTTCACTTGAGAAATCTACTCTTTTCAAATCCTGCAAATCTACTAATTAACTACCTAGAGCCTGATCGAAAACATTCTTAAACTAGCCCTCAAACCCAAGTTCTCCCTTTCCAGCGCACCCTCGAGGGTGAGTGCGAGGTCGCCTACACGATCGTCGAATCGGAGAAGAACCGCGAGGAGAAAGAGATCACCAAGTCGCTCAACTTCGAGAAATGCCCCAAGCGTATCGATATCCGCTATGGACCCCGTTACTCTGCTGGTTTGTGTTAATCAAGAAATGGATATCCACCAATCATCTCCATATTCAATACTCCTTTTCCAGAGTGCTCCATGTGTGAGGCCACCGATGCTCGCCCCGAATCTCAAACTGTCATCAACTACAAGGTTCGCGGAGAGGATGAGGAGCGTTTCCTTATCACCGAGGTCGAGCTCAAGTCCGAGTGAGTGTTTGGGATTGATCTAATCTAGGGTTTCCAACATTCATCATCCACCATCCAACCATTTCATTTCCAGGTACGTCTTCACCCCCTTCTCGAAGGATCAAGAGATGCTCGCCACCTACGTCCACCAAAAGATGCGCCTTGTCAACATCAAGTCGGCTGAGCGTGTTGAGGAGCCCCGCAACGGAAAGAAGTCTTCCCTTCTTTACAACTACGAGATGGAGTTGGCCCGTGAGAAGTTCTGGATGAACGGAGACGAAGAATCCTACACACTCACCGGATTCGCCGGAGTCCCCAAGAAGGAGCTCATGGACAAGTACATCCGCCTCACCCTTGCCTCGATGGAGGAGTCCGAGAAAGACGGAGTCACCCTTGAGACAAACCACAACTTTGCCCGCATCGTCGAGGTCTACCGCATGTGCACTGAGCGTGAGGTGCAAGAGATCCACCGCCACTTCTGGGAAACCGAAGTCTATGCTGAGCAGATCGAGAAGGTTCGCGAGTTCCTCACCGATGCTCTCATTGCTGCCGGAACCAAGGTCACCATTGAGCACTTTGTTGAGAAATGCGAGAAGAAGCAAATCTCCCCAATCCGTGCCGCTATCGTCATCAAGGGACTCGTGAACACCCGTGTTCCATCCGAGAACATTGTCAACTCACTCTTGCGTTTGGTCAAGTCCAAGGTTTGCCGTGAGGAGCCAATTCTCCGCCAATCCGTCCTCCTCACCACCGGAGCTTTGATGAACGGTGTCTGCTCAAAGAAGGAGGTCACCAAGGAATCGTGGGCCATCGAGATCGAAGGAGAGAAGGAATGCCGTCGTGAGCTCAAGACTGAATGGTTGAAGGAGTGGGAAACCCTCTTCGAATCGGCCACTTCCCGTTACGAGAAGGTCCTCGTCCTCAAGGCTGTTGCCAACTCTGCCCTTGATGTCTCCATTCATTTCCTTGAGAAGGTCATCTATGATCGCCGTCAACCACTCGTTGTCCGCCAATCCGCCGTTGACGCTCTTCGCATGGTGGGTTTGACAGTTAGAAGAACTAACTTTTAAAAGATCTACTCTAAGAAGCAATTAGTCGCCTTAAAAACTAGCTTCTCATTCTCGTTGACAGCCCAAACTCTAGCTCAATTCTAATAATCTGATCTTGAACTATTAAGCCAAAACACTTGTCAAATCAACATCCAAAGATTGTACTTACACACAAATTCCAGCTCCGCGACCAGATGCCCCGCAAGGTGCAATCGGTGTGCCTTCCCCTCTTCAAGTCCCTCCGCGAGCCAGTCCCACTCCGCATCGCGGCCCTCTACCAACTTGTCCACTCCCGCCCCGAGCGTTCCCTTCTCGATCAAATCGTTCACCAACTCAACATCGAGCCATCCACCCAACTCCGCTCTTTCGGAGTCTCTCTTCTCCGCTCGTTCTCCGAGTCCAAGAAGAACCCATGTGAGGCCAAGCTCGCCGAGGACATCAATGTCTCTCTTCGCATGCTCCGCTCTTCTCCACTCTCCACCTCCACCCATGTCCATCTCCCATGGTACTCCCGTCTCTTCGACTTCGGAATGACCATGGATGTTGCCTCAGTCTTCTCCAACGAGTCCGTTCTCCCACACGAACTTCTCGCCTCGGTCGACTCTGTCTTCGCCGGACAATGGAACAAACACCTCGTTCAAGTTGGACTCTTCCAAAACAATCTCGATCAAGTGCTCATCCCACTCCTCAAGAAACTCGAGAAAACCGAGACCGAGATCGTTCTCCGCGGACAACGCTCTTCATCGAAGGCCCCACTCCGTGAAGCCCTCAAGGAAATCGTTCGTCAGATGAAGATCCAATCCCGCCAAAACGAGAATGGAGAGGATGCCTTCGGTATGCTCTACATCCGCTACAAGAACTTGGACTATGCTGTCCTTCCCGTTGAGGAGGAACTCATGGAGAAGATTGTCCGCTCTGATTCGTCGATCTCTTCATCCGAGATGATCCGCAAGATCGCCAAGGGATTCCGTTTCGAGGGAGTTCTCTCTGGATACGTCTACGAGCACGTCCGCATCGTCCCAACCACCCTTGGACTCCCACTCCAGGTACAGTGATCTTTTAAGGTCTCTAGATACGGTCTTCTTAGCCCTAATAGCCAGTTACCGTTAAAATAGTTGATTGCTGATCGATAATATCCAAGAACTGCCTTATATTCTTTCGCCTATTGGCCGAATTTATCTCTAGACATCAATAACCAACATCTAATCTGAACCCATCTATCCCTAAAATTTCCAGGTCACCTCCAAGCTCCCAACCGTCGCCCACATCAAGGCCCACATCAAGGCCGAGATCTCCCCGAAGATGTCTCTCCGTGTCGAGATGGAGCCCTCATTCGTCTCCACCCATGTCACCGAAATGACCGTCTTCTCCCCGAGATGCACATCGGATCTCGTGTCTTCCACTCGATCCAATCAACTCTTCCAATCCACGGACAAGTCGAGTACAACGATGAGAAACAACAACTCAAGGCTGTCCTCCGTCTTCCCAAGGAGGAGAAACGTGTTCTCCTCGTCGAGTCTCGCCCAACCACCTTCGTCCGCTCATTCAACAACAAGCAAGTGCCAGTTCTTGAGGAGAAGACCATCCGTATTCCATCATTCGAGAAGACCTCCGTCCACTACGAGCAATCCTACGGAGAGGAGCACTTCGGTCTCCGCACTGAGGTCATCGGATCCGTCCACCGCCACGTCTTCGACAAGAAGTCCCCCGAGTCGATCCTCTTCGGAGAGAACCACGTCCAGGTAAAGATTTGGAAATAGTACATCGAAGTGAAAAGCTCAGAATAGTAGTACATACCACTTGAACCAAACCCAGCTCCAGATCCAAAACTCGAATTTCCAGGTTGTCCTTGTCCCCACCGCCGAGTCCGTGAAGGAGATCGTCCTCGAGGTTGAGCCCAAGTACACCAAGATGGCCTCATCCGAGTACGAGTCACCCCGCTACGATGAGACCTTCACTGAGAAGGAGTTCGGTTTGGAGACCTCTGACGAGTCTGAGGAGCGTGCTGATGAGCGTGTCTCTCGCCGCACCCACTCCAAGAAGCACTACGAGTCGATGAAATCGTTGAAGGGACACGAGGGACGCGTCAACTTCCGTCTTTACACCGTCGGAGGACCAAAGACCATCAAGGGAGAGATGTCCGTGAAAGGATCGTGCGATGAGGAGATCAAGGTGTGCCGCTTCGATCTTCAATGCAAACGCTCGCCACTTCTCGAGAAGGAGCGCCGCGACTGGGAACTCCAAATGAACGGAGAGGTCGTCCTCCCCGAATCCCCCAAGACCATCAAGGAGTTGAAGGAGATGCGCCACAAAGAAGTCGAGGGAACCCTCAAGTGCCGTTGGGGATCTGAGGAGAAGAACGAGATGACCATCCGTCTCCAGAAGACTCAATCCCAAGAGATGGCCCGTTTCGTCAAGGAGATCGACTACGAGAGCAACAAGGGACTCGAGAAATACGACATGCTCCGTGAGGCTTCCAAGCTCAACAAGTACGTCGTCCTCGTCGACAAGGACCTCTCCAAGGACAACGAATTGGTCTTCCGTCGTCTCTTCGACCTCTTGAAGTCCGAGTTCTACATGTACGGACAAGTCGAATCGATCAGCTCCGACTCTCGCCGCTTCAAGATCGAGGCCGTCGTCGAGCCCGAGGAGTGCCGTCGCGTCAACTTCACCGTTGAGTGCAATGGAGAGAAACTCATCGTCAAGGAGGCCTATTCCCCAATCCGTATCCCATTGATGTCTCTCGGATCTCGCCGTGTCTCCCTCAAGGGATTGAACAACAAGAACTCGTGGACCTCGGTCTTCATGCCAACTTCCGAGTGCGAGGTTTCCTCAAACAAGGTGTCGACCTTCGATGGACTTCTCTACAAGACCCCATTGACCACTTGCTATTCAGTGCTTGCTAAGGATTGCTCTCAAGAGCCCGAGTACGCTGTGATGATGAAGAAAATGGAGAAGGACTCTGAGGAGAAGAAGATCAAGATTGTGACTCAAGAGAAGGAAATCGAGTGCGAGTTGAAACAAGAGAAGATCGTTTGCCAGGTTGATGGACGCCGTGTCGAGGACGAGGAGGCTCTCTACGATATGGGAATCAAGCTTATCGGTTGGTTTTGAATTGAAATTGAAAGATGAGTGGGTCTTTTAGGAGAATCATCATGCGAGATCACCATCCCAAAGATGACCATCCGTTTCGATGGATACAAGGTCGAGATCAAGGCTGACAAGCGCACCGAGAACACCCAATGCGGACTTTGCGGACATTTCGATGGACGCCGCGACAACGAGTTCCGCCGTGCCGACAACGAGGAGACTGGTGGGTGGAAAAGAAATTGGATAGGAATTGAAATTGAGCTGAGATTGGGCTGAATGGGTTTTAGATGTTAGATAGAAGCTGGTTGCTCCTGAAGAGGTGTATTCCAGAGCCTAGATTCACTTGCAATACCTAGATTAGTCACTCATTCATTATTGGAATTCTCAAATCGCTTCTCTGATCAACCATTTTTCCTTTTCAGAGGACATCGAGGAATTCCACCGCTCGTGGCTTCGCCGTGACAACGAATGCGAGGTCGAGGAGTCGAAATTGAAGGAGAAGAAGAACTACGGAGTTGAGTCTGATGAGGAGGAACGCTACGATTCCGAGGAATCTTTCTGGAACCCCCGTGAAGATTTCGAGGAGGAGAACATGGGAGAGAAGCGATCACGCAAAATGCTCAAGAAGAACCTCAAGAAGCACATCAGCCGCAAGAACATCCGCGACGAGGAGGAGAACACCTACGGTTGGTTGAGCGGAGGGGATTGGGCATAGCTCTAAGAAGAACTGTGATGGTTAGACATTGAACTACTAGTCTGAGTCTCACTTGTTCCATCTCATCCATTCTATTTCCAGAGCCCGAAAACGAGATCGTGATGGTTGAGCGTGAGGGAAAGACTTGCTTCTCGATGGAGGAACAACCCAAATGCCAGCCAGGAGATGAGCTCATTGAGACCGAGAACCGCAAGGTGAAATTGGCTTGCCTTCCACGCTCGGATCGCCGCACTCGCCGCATGGTGAACGGCCTTAAGCGTGGAGAGGAGTCGATCATGGAGGAGGTGAGTGTGAAGGACAAAAATAAAAGAATAGAAAGGGAGGAAAGGATAGACAAATGGGGAGATTGGGCTGAAGATTGCAGAGACTTACTACGTTAGTTTGCTAGCCTACCTTAGATCGAGTCAGAGTGGTCAAATAGTTGAGGATCATGACACAGTCTGTAAGTTGTAGATTGAAGAGCTTAACTGCTTGAGCATTACAATTCCAATAGACACTTCAGTACTCCAATTTCTATTGCCTATCAAATATCCAATCCCCTTGAATTGCTTCATTTTCCAGATCCGTTCCCTTCCAATGTCTCTCACCGATCGCATCGAGTTGCCCAAACTTTGCCGTGTCTACTAAACACTCATCGATCAATCCAATCTAATCAACTAGTAATGAGCTTTTTTTAATCACCGGCCATCAACAATCCTAGTTTGAGCACCCATTCGGTGCGAATGCAATAAAT